CCCCTGGAGAAGGTGGTTGGCGCTTGAAAAAGGCCTAGAGCCCAGTTACTTCCCAGCGACGGGCTGGGACAGGGTGCCAGTCAGCCCAGTGGGGCAGCCCACAAAGCTCCCCTATCTGATCCGTCGCCATGCTGAGGTGCCCCACTAGCCTGGACGGGGCAGCAGGAGCGGCCAGGCCCTCCCTGAAGAGCAGGAGCCGTGTGGGCGCAGATAGCCAGGAAACACGGGAAACAGATGTGCGTGCTGGGCCTGACAGGCGAGTGATGACAGACGCGCTCTGCAGGCCTCAGATGTCAGCGCTGAGAAAAGAAAGGCACCGCGGCAGCAACACCTGTTCTGGGCTGGGAGGCCGCACTTGGGGGCTCGGCGAGGCGTCCCCACGGTGAGGGGCCAGGGTGCGGTTAGGTAAACAGCTGCACGCTCCATTACCCAGAACGCTCTCCAGACGGAGCTGGAAGAGGGAAGGGCGGCCTGCCCGCCAACTGGCTTGCAAGGAAAGCCAATCGATCATGCAGCTGACCCATCTTGGACGGAGCAGGCCTCTCCCAGCAGCAGGAGGAGTCCTGACTGAAATCTGAACACCTGAGCAATGCTGGGGAGAGCACAGACAAAGGGCACACGTTGTCAGCAGGCCAGAGGAGCGGGGGACAGAGAGCTGGCTAGTGGGGGCTTCTTGGGGCCTCTAGTCCATACAGACACCTCCTGCCTCTCAGCTGCTCTGGGTGGAGGAGGCACATGTAGAGAAAATGATGACCTGCCCCCGAAGGGCACTGCCACCTTCACAGCTGGAGCCCCAGAGAGGACAGAAAGGCAGGACAGAGTAGAGGTTAGGACACAGACTACAGAACTGGACTCCTGGACCCAATGCTGGTCCTGTTGTTACTGGCTGAGTGACCTTGGGCAAATTACTTGATCTCTCTGGACTTGCTGTTTCCTCTATGAAATGAGCACAGTGGCGCCTCCCCACACAGGGTTGTGATGAGGATTTAGTAAGTGTGAACACAGGTGAAGCAGGTGGCACAGCCTGGAACACGGAAAACATCCTATACAGGCATCATCATCAGGATGTCCCCAGTGCCATCGCCAGCAGCCTGGTCAGCTGTGCCCACTAGCTTTGAAGAGAGGGACAACCATTCTCCACCCCCAGCAGAGAGGTGGGGGCCAGGGACTGCAACATCAGAGCCGGGGGGTGACAACAAGAGACCCAGCAGAGCATCCAGTACCTCAGGGAGGGAGAAAGGAATGGACACGTCTCGTATCCTTGCTGAACGTAAGCTGCTCTGACATCACAAACCTTCCAGAGGATGATCATCTACACTGCGACGGAGGCTCAGAGAGGGCATGCGTTTACCCAAGGTCACACAGCCAGCTCCCAGCAGGATGAAAACGAAAGCCAGGCCTGTCAGAAGGCCGACCCAGGGTCTTTCGGTGGCTCTGCAGAGCCTTGTGTGTGATGGGGCTCCTCCGCGGGGAAGGGATGCCAGGACCCTGGAAGGGTGGGCTGCAGCCTCCCCAGCCCAGCCTTGGCACAGCCCTATCCGAGCGGCCAGCTCAGAGACGTGGTGACTGCAGGGCAGGGTGCTCCGGGGCAAGGGGTCCAGCTGGAGAGAAAAGCTACAAACACACCCCAAGGGCACTGGTGATACTCTCCTTTCTTTCCTTCTTCCCTGTGTCCTTCTTTCCTTCCCTCTCCTCCTTCCCTTCGCTTCCCTTCCCTTCGCTTCCCTTCCCTTCCCTCCTTTCCTTCCCTCTTTTCCTTTCCTTCCCTCTTTTCCTTCCTTCCCTCCTTCCCTCCTTCCTTCTCTCCCATTTTCTTTCATACTATTTAAGGTTGTCACTAAGGAATACATGCTAACAGGAAACAGCTGAGCATTATAGAAGGCGGTATGGATGAGGCTCTGGAACATACCGTCCCAGCTAAGTGGTTTCCCTGCGGCCACCCTCCAAAGCCCCAGCCACTCCCCCCAAATTCTCAAACCACACGCTAAAGAGAGACACAGAATATGAACGTGAGAACCAAGGAGTCGGGAGCTGGCATAGGAAACGAGCGTGGCGGCCTCTGCCCCTCCCGGTGGCTCAGCTGCTGCTTTGCCCACAGTTCCTGCGCACCAGTCCCTTTGTAGTGCTCCCAGCTCCCGCCAGCGTGCATGCGCTCTCACTCCCCACCCGGGCCTGGCACGGCCTCCTCCTCCTCCTGCTGTGCTCCCAGCTCTGCGGGAGGCTATAGTCTTTGTTGACTCTTTGTCCCCTGACACTGAAGGCTCTGAACTTGCCACCAAGTCCTCGGTGCCTAGAACAGCACCTGCCTCAGAGGAGGCACCTCATGAACGCTGGCTGAATGAATGGGAGGCAGGGGTGCAGGGAGGAAAGGCAGACGCTGCATTTCCGGCATCTCCTGTCAATCAGGTGCTCTTACAGGTGGGGTCTATGCTTCTCTTTCCATCGTCTACTCCAGCCTGAGGCCCACCCTGCTGCCTCCACCACAAACAGGCGCGCTGGCCTCACCATCCACCTGCATTGCTGCCACAGCCAGGCCCTGCGGGGATCTGTTCCTGGCCTGATCCAAGCCTTCTTGTAAGAACTTTTTATTGCTCCCCTAAACCCAACTTCCTTTTCCTGCTTTCAAGGCTTCTAGTTACTCCATCCTGACTTCCCCTTCACCTCACCTCCACCACACCCACAGGTACTCCTGCCCATCCAAGGCTGCATGGCTCCTCCTTACCTCTGTCCCTTTCCTCCTGCTTTACCTCACTCCATCCAATGAACAGGACTTCGGGGTCAGAAGACCTGGGTTCAAAAGCCCCCTCAGCCATCTACTTGGATAGTTACCAAAGTCATCGGACTTTTCTGAGTCTCAACTTACTCATCTGTAAAATGGGAATCATCGGGCCTCATAGGGCTATGGTGAGGAGTTAGAAAAAGAAATGGTGCAAAAGTTAGTCTGACATCCAGCCTTCCCAAACTCACGCCAACCACTTCTGGACAGATACCAGCTTGCGTGTTCTTCCACACCAGGCTACCCTCAGCTCCCACCTCCCCAGCTGGACTAAGAACTGTAGCTTCTTTTGTTTCCTCAAGCTCCTATCCGTTGAGGCCCCCAGTTGGCATCTCATCAATCCTGATGAGCAAGCAAATCAACATGAGAAAACTCGGCCCAGTTTGGATGTCCTGCAGAAAACATGCTGTCGGAGAGGCCCCAGAGACAGCACTTTGATTACCCCATGACACACTGTCATACCTGAAATCCACACCCAGCCTGCAAACCCGAAGCCTCGTGGAAGATTAACCTAGAAAAAACTGCCCCAACACGTCGGGTGGACATGGGCCCACTACCATCCAAGCACTTGACTTTCTGGGAGTGTTTACATTCCCCCATTCATTCAATTCTCACAGTGACCCTGCAAGGCGGGTGATAGAGATTGCCACTCCTCAGCCAAGGGAACGAGCTCGGCAAGGATAATAAACGGACTCATTGGCACTTGGTTTCTCAGAGAAAGGAAAAGAGTGGAACCCAGATCTGTCCTGCTCCAAAGCTGGGCTCTTCTCCCAGTGCCAGCCCTTGTGGAAAGTGCAATTCTCCAGATGTCCAGCAGTAGGCGCCACAAAGATCTGCCACCCACCACAAACGAGAGGACCTACCACCAAAGTCCCCAAAGGCAGCTCTGAAGTCCAAAGCAACATCAGTGCAGAAGGAGCCCTGGATAGAGCATGAGGAATGGGGCCAAACCCATGACGGGGGGTAGAGGAGGGAGTGGCAGGCAGGGGGTCAAATTTGGGCCCTGTCACTTTATTTATTTATTTTATTTCAGAGAGGAAGGGAGAGGGAGAGAGAGATAGAAACATCAATGATGAGGGAGAATCATTGACTGGCTACCTCCTGCACACCCCACACTGGGGATCGAGCACTCAACCCAGGCATATGGCCTGACTGGGAATCGAACCATGACCTCCTGGCTCCTAGGTTGACACACAATCACTGAGCCACGCCGGCCAGGCCATGGGCCCGGTCACTTTAAAGGTGCCACACACATGGACACAGGAACCTTTCAAACAAGTGGAATGACTATTCCTGAACAGACCAGAGAGAGAGTTCCCCATTCCCACATCCTTCTGCGGGCCCCTCACCAGCGGCTACCGCTTACAGGCGTCTGATTGAAACAAGCCGGTCTGTCTTTGGTAGAAATCAGGACTCACGACCCTGGGTGGCCATAATGGTGATCACAGCTCACAGATGCCCACTTCAGACCCACCAGGGGCAGCGCCCGCTTCAGTCTTTGCAAAGCCAGATCCGAAATGAACTGAGCCCTGTCTGGCTCCTCTTGGGCAGGCAGCGTGAAGGCAGGCGCCTTATAAACAGGGCCAGCGCCAGGCCTCCTGCCTCCTCCGGCACAGCTGACTTGCAGAGAAGAAAGACTCACTTCCCACAGGGGGAAAAGTCTGTTTAGGCCACTGTCCTCCTGGGTACCAAACCCTCACATCTGGAAATCTTTCTATCTGCTGTTAAGCAGCCAGAGTCACAAAGGGAAAGTGTGAACTTGGATGGAAAACTCTGGAAAAGCTAAGCCACCAGGGAGCTAGAGTGAAGAGGAACTTCCACCTCTGATGTGTTTGAAACCGGGTAAGTACGGAGACCTCTCAGTGACCTGCGTGGCTGGACTAATTACCAATGTTATCAGGCGGATGACAGACATGCCCCGAACTTCCTCTGTTTGGTAGATTCTGCTGCAAACACACTCAAGTTCAGGCCCATGCTTGCTGCTTTCAGCTGTGCCCTATTCTTCCACAAGACCACTCCTGGCCCCCAACTCCTCTGAGCTGGGCATGCCTCTCAGCCCAGCCAAGCCGGTACATCCACCCAACACCAGCCTGCTGACTCAGGCAGGGCACCTCCTGCTGGAACACACCACACAGAATCAGTGCTAACTCCTGGCAGAGAAACAGAAAACATCTCTTCTTTCCCTGCCTGGATGTCAGAGGATGAGATGAGAACCGCTGCTTACCTTTATCGCCGTTGCCACTGGGGAGCTCCAGCCCACAGGTCCCTGGCGGGTAAGCCCTTGGCCAGCACACACCAGCGTCCCACACTCCACACAGGCGCCGATGATCAGCTGCCGCCCGTCGTCCACCAGCAGGCTGTGGCTCGCTCGCAGGGTATAGAGAAACAAGGGCAGCCGGGCCACCCGCACAGCCTTCAACCCAAGACACCGCTTCCTCTCCTGCTGGCAGAAGAAGCACACAAACGTGTCCACTTGGTACTGCCGGGACCAGGCACTGACAGCATGGTGGGCATTGCGTGCCTCGTGCTGCAGCCACTGGCCTAGCAAGTCGTGGTAGCAGAGCACGCAGGTGGCCACCAGGCCCGTGGAGTCGGCAGGCCTGGCACGTGGAGCAGGTGGGTACACAGTGAGGAAGGGGAAGAAGGGTTCCTTCTCGCCCAAGCGACTGGAGGGGTTCACGTTGAGCTGGAACTCCTTCCCGGGGCCCAGCTCAGTCCCGCAGATGTAGCAGACGGACACGGCGCTGCCCTGGGTCGATGTGGGCAGCTCGGAGAGAGCAGGGTCAGAGGCAGGGAAGGCCTGGTGGTACCTGCCCAGGAAGCCCTGCACAGAGGTGATGAGCTCCTCATTCTGACAGGCCCGGTACAGGGCCCAGATGTCCTCCAGGACGCTGAAGCACTTGGGGCAGCTACGAACCTCACCGCGCTTGTTGGGGCCTCGGGCATTGGGGGGGCAGGGCAGGAGGCTGAGGAAGGGGAAATGCATGGTGCTCCTGGCATTGCCATTGAGGATCCTGGAGGCCACAGCCCGGGCGTCAGGGGTGCAGTCCTCACCACAGAGGTAGCAGGCCTCTGGCAGGGTCCCCGAGGTGGTGCCCTCCTCCCTCGGGAGCCTCCTGCCCTTGGAGGCCATGCCGGGGGCGTGGCTGTTCAGAGGCACCACGTACAGTCTCTGCAGGACAGGCACGCTGGCCAGCTCGAAGCTTTGCCACTGCTGCATGAGGGAGGAGAAGCAGCAGGGACACACCAGCGTGCTGCCGCCCTCGCTGATGGGCTGAGCCCCGGGAGGTGGGCTGTGCAGCCACAGGAAGGGAAAGAAGGGGGCCTGAGCCAGCTTCTCCTGCTTCTGCACGTGGATCTGGTGCTGCGAGGCCGGGGACAGCGCCGACCCGCAGATGTAGCAGCAAAGGCCCCCTGGTGGCGCCGGGCGGCTCTCCGGAGGAACCCGGGGGACGCGGCCACCGGTCTCCTTCTCTTTGGGGCCACAGGGGCTCGGGAGAGGCGGCTCCTTGCGGTCCTCCTCCTCGCTGGTGATGTGGATGTCACTGTCCTCGGAGAGGCAGTAGCCTCCACGGGGCTCCCCCAGGGGCCTGCTCTCCAGCGTCTTGACGGCCCTGCCTGAAGGGGCTCCTCTCATGCCGTCTGCAGGGGCCACTGGGGCTGGAGGGCCTGGCCAAGGGCCTTGAATCCCTCTCAGGACACTGGCCCGGGCCTCAGGGACCCAGGGCCTCCCGACGCCCTTTCTCCGGCGCCGAATGCCGGTCTTGGGCTCCCCGTCCACGTGGAGCTTCGAGGGGTCCCCCTCCTCCTCCTCCACGTCACCCTGCGCGGGGGTCTCGGCGCTCTGTCCCGGAGGGGGTCCCGGCGCCGTCCTCCACTCCTGGCAGCGGCCGCCACGAGGCCCAGGCCCCAGAGGGGTCCGCGCCGCTGGCGCCCCGTCCTGGCGGGGGCTTAAGGCGTCGCGCGCGACAGAGTCGGGCTCCGAGAGGGGGTCGGTGTCCGACAGCTCCGACAACTCCGAGTCTCGAGGCTCTTCGGCGGAGATCCGGGGGCCGGGGCCACCGCCGTCGTCGTCTTCGTCGTCGTCGCCGGCCGCGCCACCCAGGGCGTAGGCGACGTTCCACTCGCGGGGGGCCCCTGCGCCCCCGCGGCGCCCGCCCGCGCCCGCGTCGCACTGGTGGGGCCGCTTGAGCCAGTACATGCGCTTGTCCACGGGCGTGCGGGCGCGCTCGAAGGCGGCCCACTGCTCGCCCAGGAAGCAGCGGCACACGGCGCACACCAGCACGCAGCCGTCGGCCGGGGACAGCTCGCGCGCGCCGGGCGCCGGCTCCTGCTGCTGCAGGAACGGGAAGAAGGGCTGCGCCGGGGTCCCCGCGCCCGCCGCCGCCGGCTGCTTCACCTGCAGCTTCAGCTCCTTGCCGCGCCCGATGCCGCCGCCGCAGATGAAGCAGGAGAGCGGCGCGCCGCCGCCGCCCGCCGCCCGCTCGCCCACGGCGGCCATGAGCCGCTGCTTGCGGGAGACCGGCCGCCCGCTCATGGCCGCCCCGCGCCGCCCTCAGCGCCCGCCCGCGCCGCCGCCGCGCCCAACTTGGAGCATGTGTGCGCGCCGCAAAGTTTGGCGGCGGGCGGCCGGCGCGGGCGCGGGAGCTCGGCCGCTCACAGGGGCGCCCCCCCGCCCCCGGCCCGCCCAGCCCCCGGCGGCGCCGCGCCCAGCGCGCCCGGAACGCAGCGGCGGCGGCGGCGGGCCCCGGGCGGCTGGAGCGGCAGCCGCATGTGCGAGCTCGGCGCCTGCCAAAGCGTTGGGTCATTTAATTGGGGAGGAGGGAGGCGGGAGGGCGGGCGCGGAGGGAGGAGAAGGGAGGAGGAGAGCGGGCGGGAACCAGCGGGCGGGGAATCCCTCCCTCGCGCGCCCTCCCCTCCTCCTCCCCGTTCTCCCCCTTTCCTAGGCTGTTCCCCCTCTTCCCTCCCCCCGCGTCCCAAACTGCGCACAATAGCGCGCCGGCTCCTCTATCTATTTTGTGTCCAGCCGGGAGCCGCGAACGATGATTCATTGCCCCAATTAGGGGCTCTCTCCAGCGCGCCAGGCTGGAGCTGTCTGAAGGGTCTCCTCGGGGGACCCGCGGAAACCCATCAGCGGCTACAGCTGGTCTTTAAGTAAAGGTCAAGCAGGACGCAGGAGGAGGCAGGTAAGGAAGTGGCTGGTGTCCCCTGAGACTGAGGAGTCGGAGAAGGCGCTCTCGTGGGGGAAGAGCAGCCTCAGTCCAGGAGCCAAGTCCATTCAGGGTGCTATGGCCCCCTCCTCCTTCTAAAAGGGGGACCCCACAAGGGTCATTACAGCCCTCCGCGGCCCAGAGTTGGGGGCACTTTCCAGTGCCCAGTGTTCTAAATTTGGAGGCAGAGGGAAGAGGAGCCGTCGGTCTCCTGGAACACACTAGTAGACGCACCATCCTGGGGGCAGAGGCCTCGCCTGACACACCCCTCTGCACCCCTGTCCAGGGGCAGAAAGGGTCCTGTGTGTCCAGAGCTGTGTGTTCCAGGGCAAGTGACTCAACAACTCTGGGGCCTTCCTTCCTCTTGTTAAACGGGAGCTCTGACAGGGGATTCACTGTTTCCATGTAATTATTGTGTATGTGAATAGATGCATTGTATTTATTTAATACACAGAGAGAGACCTTAGCATGCGCCAGGGTTCTTTTCTAAGCACTTTATTTATTTATTTAGTTAGTTAGTTATTGTTAATCCTTAACGGAGGATATTTTTTCCACTGATTTTTAAGGAGAGTGGACGAGAAGAAGAGAGAGAGAAACATCGATTGGTTGCCTCCTGCATGCCAGATACCTGACCTTGACCAGGAATCAAACCCTCGAGCTGAAGCTCTAACCACTGAGCCCACCAGCCAGTGGTTCTTTTCTAAGCACTTTATATGCACCAGCACAGTGACTCCTCCCAGAAACTCTGGGTTAAAGTGTGATGGAAAGCCTGTTTTACGGATGAGAAAGAGGAGGCACTGAGGGTTAAGTTACTTTTCAGGAGTGCTGGGGCTGGGAGTCAGACCCTGTGCAGCCTCACCAGGCACACGTCTGGTCCCCATCACCCTCTGCTGATCGTGATTGTCTATGGTAGGAGACATGGCAAGGACCCCTCCGTACTCCCTGCAGCTCTGACAGGCTGGAGGCCTTGGCACATCCAGGCCTTTCTGGGCCTCACATTTCCCATCTGTGAAATGCCACCCCTTCCAGCCTCAAAATTCTATGAGTCTCTGACTTCTAAGCAGGTGACAGCTGTCCTGACCTGCCAGCTGGAGCCCAGAGTGAGCCCGGGGACAAAGGTGCCATGTGGGCCCCTGTGCCCTCTGGGGCACTGACATGTAAATAAAACTAGGCTTCCTCTGGCGAGGAGGAGGGCCATGCATTATAAATAAATGGAACAAGAGGAAAGGGCCACCTCTTTGGAAACCCTGGTGGCTATTCCAGGGGTCACAGTCCAGGGGTGAACAGGAAAATCAGCATCATCGCCAGAAACGCAAAATGCAGGCCTTCACCGAGGCTCATAAAACAGCTGTATCAGCCAAACTGCCCCGAAGGAATGTTGGAGGCAGGGCAAGGGGTTTCCCTGCTTCTGGCATTTTTAATACCTGGTGAGAGGAGGTGGACGGGTTAGAAAAACTTTGAAGGGTGAGGTCTGTTTGATTGTATCCTAGCACAAGTAGGAAGCCTCACACAGACCAAGAGCTGCTGGTAAAGCTATGCCAGCTTAGGCAGTGCAGGTCCGCTGTGGGTTCCGTGAGGCTTGCACATGCTGTTCCTTCCACCTCAAATGCCTTTCCGGGCTCTCTGCTCCTCTTCTCTTTATGGTCTTGGCTGCAGTATCTTCCCGGAGAGACTTCCCTGCCGTCTCCATTTCAAATCGGTCCCTCCTGTTATTCTCTGACTCAGCTCATTGGCATAGGAATTTGCTGTTGATTTTCTTCTCTGTCGACTGTTCCCTGTCTGTGCTCCTTCCCCCGGGCAGGAATCAGATCTGTCTTGTTCACGGTGGATATCCTGTCCCATCCCTCTCTAGTTGAGTGAGCCTTGGGCAAACCTCTCAGCTCCCGAAATCTCAGTCTCCTGCTCTGTACAATGGGATCTTGATCCTCACCAGATTTTTGTGTGTGGATCAAATGAGGCAGAGAGAGCCCGATGCGCTGGGCACGGGGCCTGGCACGTTGTAGGTGACAGTGTGTGCGTGTTGACTCTGCCTGGCTCTATCCAGTGTTGAGGAGGTTCTACTACTGCCTGTCTGCAATCTGAGGTGAGAGGGACACTGTGATGAGGTCCCACACAGTGTCTGAGGAAGGAGGGCCCCAGGGGTCAACCGGATACAAAAAAGGAGGTGGAGTTTTCTTGGCTAAGCTGGGATCAGTCAGTATGTGCCACATGTGTGAAGGTGTGTGTCTGCATGTGCTTGTGTGTATGAGTATGCATGCGTTCAAGTGTCTCTGTATTTGTGTTTGCATGTGTTGGTGTGTATGTGTGCATGTGTACATGCATGTGCCTGTGTGTGCATATGAAGCGGGCCAGGAGCAGGAAGAGAGAAGCATCCAGCTGGATGTTTTATTTCCCTCAATGACCCAGTGACTCAGGTCATTCCCCTGCCACACATCTCGGGAGCCAGGCACAGATCTCAGAAGGAGGAAGGCAGGTGATGATGGTTGGTGATCTGTGGGTGGATGGCATCTGGGTGGGGCCACGAGTACAGATTGACATAGCAGATTAACACCGCAGTTCTGCCATTTACTAGCTGTGTGGCCTTGACCTGCAACTTAACCTCTCTGAGCCTCAGTTTCCCCATCTGTAAAACAGGGATAACAAAACACCGTCCCCATAGCGCTGGGAGGAGGATGGAGTGAGACAGCCCAGGCGAAGCACTCTCTCTGAACACAGAGGTGACAGTAGTTTGGCACGTGGGCGGGATATGAAGTACACGCAGAGACCTGTGCCTTACAGATGCAAAGGCACCAAATCTTAACAATGAGCCAGTGAGGTAGGTTCTGTTATATCCCCAGTTTACAGGTGAGGAGATCAAGGCACAGGGAAGGGCAGTAAAGGCCCAAGGTCACGCAGCGTGGTGGCTGGACCTAGGCACCATGTCTCCATAAGTCCCTTAGCTTTGCCCTAAGTCTGAGATGCCAGCTTGTTAGGGCAGGGAGGGCAGAGTCCTGTCCTCCCTCTCCTCACATGTGTCCCCAATTTCACAGGTAAGGAAACTGAGGCCCTGGCAGGTTTGTGCCTGGACACAAAACAGGCCAAGTGTGCGCGAAGATGAGGAATGTCAAGGCTCATCTGTGTTAGCGTCACATGCCAAAACAGTCTCAAAGTTCCCGTTTGTAAGGGAGAAGTGAGAAAAGCTCATCAGGAATGAGCCACCAGAATATCCCAGAGCCACAGCCTCCCGACCCCAGCAGAGCCATCTCTCTGCTTCCCTGAGTCTCTCCACCCCATTTGCAGCTCCCTCAGACCCCGCAGTGTGCGGCCCCAGCTCTCCCCATCTCTGTTCCTAGGATGCCAGTGCAGTGGACTTGAAAAGCCCTGGCAGAGGCTCACAGGCAGACCTGGCTCCGGGAAATGGGAGGAAAGGCCCACCCCTCGGTTCTGCAGGAGACCAGAAAGCATCATTGCGGAGCATCTGGGCACATCTCAGACTTGGGGCTTTCTGCAGTGCTGGCTCAGAAGCTTCAGGAACCTGCCCCCACCCTGGGGGAGAGTGAGCTTCCAGGCTCCCAGCACTGAGCACAGGTGATTTTATGTGTCTGTTTCTGAGCCTGCCTCTCCCACCGGAGCAGAGCCTGAGTGACTTCCCTTTCCCCATCCCACAGTGTCTCAAAGCCAGGGGCACAGTTAGGGCCCATCCCTGCTTGAACCTGGGATGCCAGACTACATCCCAAACCTCACCACACCTTCTAAGTTCCAGAGTCGGGCAGCTCCCGCCACCTCTCCTGCTCTGTCTTCTAGTCTCTTACTCTTCCCAGTGCCAGCAGTCCAGATCAGTGCCCCACTTCTCTGGACCCCATACCCCCACTTCCCTCCTCACTGGGGCCTCTGCCATTTCCTCCTCCCTCTACACTGTGCACGCACCCTTGGCATCCCTCCCAGGCCCATGCACCTTCCCAGGCTGGCCCATCCTTCCTCTTTTAGAGCCTACGTATGCTGTGTGTTTGGCCTGTAGCTCGCTGGGGACTAGAAAAATATAATGTATCATCTGACTGCCCTATTTTTTGCCTAAGAATGAAGCAGGCACTTCTCTCCTCTCAAAAGGAGCTTCAAACATAGCCGGCTGCTGGCAAAAGTATGTTCTTCTCAGAGGAGGAAATGAAATCGTTAACAATAAAGAAAAACAAGACCTGGGATTTATGGAGGCCTTGGGTGTATGAACCATTTCGCATGTATTAGATTGCAGGGCAGAGCCCAGCGGGAGTCCCCATCTCCATTTGAGAGATGAGGAGACTGAGGCTGAAGGACACCGTTCCTGAGACCAAGCTAAGCTCCCAGCGGCCGGGCTGGTGCAATCTCCTTGCCTTTTGTATGTGTGAGCCGTGCCGACTTGTTCAATGTAAACACCGAAAAAGATGTGTTTTTGGCGACCCTGACTCAGCATCCCTTCTTTATTCAAACACATTAGCCTCAGAGAATGGAAGTGGGGACCACT